CTCTCTCTCTCTCTCTCTCTCTCCCTTTCTCTCTCGATCGTGCTCCTCTCTCCTCTCTCTCTGTCTCTTTCACTCTCACTATCTTTCCCTCTTCATTGCGAATGTAATGGCGATTACTTGTGCCAACTAAGAATACCAGAAGATAATTAAATACTCTGGTACTATGTCAATCAACCTTGTGTCAATCTATTGACAACACGATATCTGAGTGTCATATCTTTAAAAAAAGCGTTTATCGACATTTATGATTACTGGCCAGAAACTAAAGAACAGTGCGGTTCGCACAGGTACTTGGTCGGCATACTTCTTCTACTTTATAATCACGATCAGTACGAGTAGATACTATACTATAGTATAGATAGATAGTTCGGAGTGACGATGAGATGGACAGTGATGAAGAAGCCTTAATGGTGGCATGACTGCAAGATCGTAACACTAAGAAAACTGATGGCAGCATTTATAACTTGACCTAGCTCTATTTAATTTCCACCAATCAGAGCATTCCTTGATGCAGTAGGCAGTGCTGTTTGGCATATTCGTCGTGTACACGAGCCAAGGGTCCACTTATAGCTATTAGTGAGGCTTAAAGGCAGATTCTAACTACCAACTGGTATGCACCTAACCGTTAATAATTGATATTCATATCTGCTCGACTGCTAAATCATATTGGAAATTACCCTGACAACGTCTCGCTAGCTTGGAATATCGCGCAGACGTCGTCGAGGAAAGTGGGCAGTGAGTTTAACGTGCGAGGTCTAACGAGCTCCTCTAGCGCGCAAGCTACGCTCTCACTGCCCGCCTGTGTCGCACTGCAGTAGTCGTACGATCGACGGATCGCTCCTGGCGCCCTCTACGAATTCTTCTAGCGATAGTTTCCCGTCGAGATCCTTGTCCATCTGTCGGAAGATCTTCTCGGTGCGTTTCTCCGGCGTCGCTTCATCCTCGGGCATCTTCATTACGGATCCGACCATCTTGTAGATCGCCTGACGAACGTAAACACCGAAAATGTATTTTTTTTAATTGAGAAAAAATCTCGTAAGAGAATCATTGATGTGGTGGTTATCTTACGCACAGCGTGCGTAGAACCCGTGCGTGTGTAATGCAGCGGGTACTTCAATGTTGCACTGCAATGGGTGAATTTAGTCCCCTGGAAAAAAAGCATGCTGCAAAGCCCGGGCGAAACTGAAGAAAGAAACGCATGCGAATTCTGCAAAGGTAAAAACAATGTCTGTGCTTCCATTGCTACTCTATAACCGCTTCTCTAATACACCCTACTGATCTCCAATACACTGGGGGGGGAGGGGGGCTTCTGTTTGCATGAATTTCACAAATAGTTGTGACTTCCATGAATCTAAAACGTCGTATATACGTATCCTTTGCACGACACTTCGCTGCAAAAGTCATCGCACTTTAGACTTACGATGTTTTGAAAGGACACTTCACTTGAAAAGTTACGACCTTTTAGACTTGTAAAATTATGTATAACTAACTATTATTCATGATGTTTCTTCTACACTACACTACTCCTCACCTCACCCCAACCCTCCCCCACCTTCGCCCACCCACACCCACCCCGGCTCACCGATACGATCGCCAGCATCTCCTGTTGGCTGATGAAGCCATTCCCGTCAACAAACCCACCCATCACCCCAACCCACACACACACACACCCCAACCCTCCCCCACCCTCCGCCCACCTCCCCGCCCACCCTACCACCTNTTCGTGCGTGCGTTGGTGCGTGCGTGCGTGAGTGCGTGCGTGCGTGCGTGCGTCAGTGCGTGTGTGTGTGCGTGCGTGCGTGTGTGCGCGTGCGCGTGTCCGTTCGTGAAGCCGGTGCCTGAGGAGTGCATCGACACGTTGTTGTCTGTGTCGAGGAAAATTATCCGCGCAAGGTAACAGTATCTAGCGATGCTAACGAAGTGTGAACGCCCTTCTCGCTTTGTTGCTCTCTTTTACTTTTAGAAAGTGAGAGCGAAAGCATACCTATCATAAAGCCTGTATCCACAAGGAAGAGAAGCGGAAAGGATAAGGCTACTATAGGTTACCATTCAAGGAACAGTAATATAACTATACTATATATAGTCTCCTTCTATCTCTCTCTCTCTTCTCTTCTCTCTCTCTCTCTCTCTCTCTCTCTCTCTCTCTCTCTCTCTCTCTCTCTCTCTC